GCTTCATTGCTGTTTTTCCCTCACTTCCCCTTATTGGTGTCGAGCGTGGTCACCAATCACAGTGTGTATTCCCATTGAGTCTTAGTCTTGGAAGGGGGTTTGCACTGAGGGAGCTTTCTAACATTTTAAAGAGATCGTTTGCAGTAGATTTACCCAATGCAATATCTTGTTTGATTTCTTGATTACAGCTTCCATGATTGCAGTTCAAGTGTAGTAGAATCCTTGTCAACTTCAATCGTTTCTCTGTTTATTATAATGTTGTTTTTTGGTCCAGCTGTGGGATTTTTTTTCAGTTATACTGAGATGGAACCCACACTGAAGGCTTTTCATCTTCATCAGTGTTTCAAGTCTTACTCACTTTCATCATGCAAGGTTGTAGCATCTGCATATCGCAGATTGCTAATGAGTCTTCCTCAAATCTGGATGCTACATTCTACTTCATATAACCCAGCTTTTCAGATTATTTGCTCAGCATACAGATTGAATAAATATGGTGAGAAGATACAACCCTGACACATACCTTTCCTCATTTTAAACCACAGTATTCCCTTGTTCTGTTCAAACAGCTGCCTCTTGGTCTATGTACAGGTTCTTCATGAGCACAATTAAATATTTTGAAATTCTCACTCTTTGCGGTGTTATCATAATGTGTTATGATCCACATAGATGAACAACTTTGCATAGTCAATAAAACATAAGCAAACACATTTCTGGGGTTCTCTGCTTTCAGCCAAGATCCCCTTAGCATCAGCAGTGATGTCTCTCATTGCATGTATTAAGGTTAGGTAATAGTTGGCTATTCCGCTCTATATTCACTTCTAAGCTGGAACTTTCTGATTTCTCTGTAAACAGGAGGCTTTCTCTGTATGTATACAGATCAACCACTTAAATAAAGTGCCTAGGCCTTCATTTCTCTTTGCTTCAATTATTTTTGACACCCCCATTTCCCCCACCATCATAAATGGGGCAAAAAGGAGATGGAACACACCAACAGTTAGTTTCCTTTGTAAGGATATGGTGCAGAATCTTCCCACATCCCATCAAGCATAGGGACAACCTTAGGTGTTGGGATGCTGGGAAATGAAGTCTCTAACTGGGCAACATTGTCTCAACCTGGGCATCCATTGAGGATGGTGTGATTACTAAAGGAGGAGGGGCATACTGGGAAACAATGATAATTCTCTATTACACCAACCCTGGGGATGATAATAACAACCAACCTTGTGGAACATTCATAGGAGCCCTGGTGGCGCAGTGGTTAACTAAAGGGTGGGCAGTTTGA